AAAAAAAATTAATTTTTTACAACGACTCATCATTAGCAACATACAAGGTCATGATCACACACTTATGACAACAGCAACACTAACTGAGACCTTGGACCACATTTTTCTCACACAGGGACAGACAGGATGGCTTCTGTTTTGATTTCAACTTGAGTCCACGGACTCTTTTGAATCGGTATGCCTCAGTGCTGACTGCCAAGCTTCCATTATCATTTCAATCTCCACAGATGTCCCAGAAGCTCCTGATTCACTATCTTCTACAAACAAGCCCTTATAGATTTTTCACTGAGTTGAGGCCGTTAGTGTTCAGTCAGTGACCCACAGGAAAAAATGCAAGCAACCTCAAACTCTTCCCTGAGCTCCCCCCATCTACTCAGCCAGTATATGATTTCTCTTTACATTTTCTCTTGAATCCTAACTATTCCCATTCTTTTTCCAACCCATCACTAGGGACTTTGTTCAAATCTTCTTCATTAATCCAGGCCTCCCATTTATGACCAGTGTCCTGATTTCTAACACTGTTTGTAAATGCAAATCTGGCTATTATTTTTCTGACTATATACTAGTGAATACTTATGGTGTCAAAAGGACATCTAAACATTTTGCGTCTTACATAAACCTTTTTATAGTCTGGACTTGACCTTGCCATACACCTTTCTGGCCAGACCTCCACAAGCCTTTATATCAACTTCCACTGATCCCTTTAAAATATCAAACTATCATACATGCAACATTTTGGACGCAAGCTTCCCTTGCTTTATAATACCTTCTTCTGGGTGATAAAAAAATTTATTAAGATTCTTTCTACTCAGGAATTTCCCTACAAAGTTCTTGGACTCCCCAAGATTATGTCTATTTTTAAAATTCTGTACACTGACCGTACACACTTTCATGCATTATGCATGTTGTATGGTTATTATTTCTGTATTTGTCTACTCTATGAGACAAAGCTCTAAAATGCACATGTAGCTCTTTGTATTGCATACACAATGTTTCAAGAACGAATGAATATACAAATGAAGGGATGCTGGCATTTAATTTGTGGTGGTAGAGAACATGACATGGCTCATGTTTCTTTTTGTCAGATGGCAAAATACAAACAGACTGGGAAATAGTTGTAGCAGAGTCAGAAAAAAAAGCAGCTTTATATCCTGAATCCAGGATCAATAATATGACTTTAGGTCTTTGTTTTTACATGTAAAAAAGATAGAATAGCTGGAAAATAGTTGGATAAAGATTAAACAACAGGCAAAATGTTCAGAATAGTATCTGGCATGTAAAAGCACTTATTAAGCATTAATATTTATGTTGCCTTTATAATAATCCTATGAATTTTAAAACTATTTTCCTTTATAGTCCCAATACTGCTTGCGTACCTTTTGTCTGTATTTTTCATCTGTCTTGTTAAACCTACCTTTCATTCATCCACTTTAAAAGTGAAGATTCATTCCTTCATTCATCCAATAACCTCTGACCACCTACTACTACATGCCAGATGGTGTTCTAGGTGCTGGAGGCACATCAACAAACAGGACAGATACCCTACCCTCTACAGAGCATCCTAGTGGCTGAAGACTGAATACAGTAAGTCAGAAAACTGCATGGTATGTTGTGAGGTAAGAAGTTCTACATGGGGAAAAAAACAGATCAACTAGAAGATGAAGAGCTTCTATTTCCAATACAGTGCTCATTGCGAGCTTCACTAAGAGGATAGTCTAGCGAAGATTTAAAGATGATGCAGGAATGAGCCACATGAATGTGGGGGCTGGCGAGTCTTCCAGGCAGAGGAAACACACATGTCAGGCTCTGGTGTGCTTCTATTTTATGGCTCCTTGGCTTTCAGCTTCCCGTGTCTTATGTTCTAGGTGTACCTCTAGTGAGTAGTATTTGTGAATTTAGTTTGATTTGCAGCCTGTAACCTGAGAAGCCTCTGTCCTTTGATTGTCTGGATTCTCTGAATTCATTTGTATTAGTTAGTACTTTAGATATAGATATTAACTTCATTTCTGATATCTGAGGTTTTCTCTTTGCCAAGCTTTATATTGAACCCAGCCCCATTCACATATTCTATACTAACTGAATGGGAGTATGCTTGGATTTTGGAGACATGATCTCATGTATTCTAGGCTGGCCTACAACTATCTAGATAGCCCAGGATGATCTTGAACTTCTGATCTTGCTGGGATTACAAGCATGCACAACTATACCTGGTTTTATTTACTGCTGGGATGTTGAACCCAGGGCTTTGTGTATGCTAGGGAAGCACTCTACCAACTGAGCCTCTGAGTGTCCTTAATAATCATTACCTTTCCCCTCTACTTTGCAAGTTCTAGTGTTATCTCTCAAGGGTTCTCTTAAAATTCTTAATGCAGTCAGGTATAGTGGCTCAATCCTGTAATGCCAGCACTTGAGAGACTAAGACAGTGAGACTGAGAATTTTGGGCTAGCTTGAGCTACATAATGAGACTATGTTTCAATATCTACCCCCCTACACACACACCCAAAACCCCAAATCCAAAATCTTAATTACCATCTGCTGTATAAGAAAGTTTCTGTGGTGAGAGTTAAGGGATGCATTAATCTATAAGTATAACATTGTTATTAGGAGTAAGTTTAATACTATGTCTATTTAGCAGCACAATAGTAGTAGGTCTTCTCCTATGGCCTGTGATCTGTCTAGCCACAGGTTCCTAGGCCAGATGTCTTGTGAAGTACTTTATCCCTAAAGTACCAAAGAACATCCACCTTTTGAACATAGACTTACAAAGAGTTACTGAAGGCCCTTTCAACAAGCTATATCTCAACCTACAGACAACCAACCATTGTCAGATGTTCCTTTGTAACTCCAAACTTTATCCAATATGCCACAGAAATGATATTACAAATATAAATCAGGGAATATTAATGCTGTTTTGGAGGTTCTAGAAGATACTGCTAACTCTTCATTTTACAAAAAGGTAACATGGGCCCAGAAAGGTAATATTACATAGTTACTGCAAAAATCTGGACTTCAAACATAGTTTTCAGCATTTCAACATGAGCTATTTTAAGCATGCCACTTATAATAGTGAGATTAACAAGTTGGTCCACAAAAAAAGCTATTTATCCCATGGTGTGGCTGAAACATTTAGCAAGGAACCAGCAGGGGAAAATCGTATTGCAGTAATCACTTACCAAAGCAACCTCAAAGCTATTTTGCTGAAAATAGTTTTTAAAAATAGTGAATATGAGGCTACATGAATTAACAGGTGACAGGGAGATCTATCGATGTTCTTTTGGATTCTATAAGGAAATATCAGCTGTTTAGAGGCGTGTGGCCCTGGTATTTAACTATGACTAATGTCACCCAACAACCTGGAGCTTTCCTTTTCCACGGCAGGCACAGACGATTGATATGGTTCAAAGGGAGGCCAAGCTAACGCTATTTGGGGCCTCTCCATTAACTGTCAGCTCTTACTAGAGAGTTGTAAAACTACCCCAAGGGTGAGACAAGGAAAATCTTCTATACTAAAGATGATACCCATTCAAGGATGTTTGTACTGAATGTATTAGGAATTTATTAGGAATTTAGAAATTAGAAATTAAAGATGAATATTAACTCTGTAAACTCTGAAAACAAATTGAACATTGCTTGGACACTGTGTGAGGTAGATAAGTAGATAAGAAGCTAAGTCGTAACCTAGCAACCAAGCAGAACCTACAACCTACGAGTGCCTGTGTGTTGGTGATAAGTGACCACATGGTGTGAGCCATATCACAAGAAACTGCTGAAGTTACTGATGTAAGTC